GGAGAGGTGTGCGCGTGTGTGAATTTATATACACACACACACACATATATATATATATATATATATATGTTATATGTTATATGTATATGCATATGTTTGTGTATATATTACTTAATGTGACTGTATGTTTCGTCTGTTCTGTATATAAATATATATTCACATAATCATAATTTACTTAAAAGATATCTTCTGTTTCTATAATAATACGTTGCATTCTCTAGTTAAATTATAAACTTAAGTTTTAAGAGTGATTATTGTATAACATTAGGCGAAAATAAAACTAAAATTATTTTAGGAAAATAAAGTAAAAATCAATTTTTTAAAATTATTTTTTATTCAATCGTAGTTATTCGCATTATTTTGTGTGTATCCATAATTTATTTTATTTCTCCTTATTCCATTCATTTTTAAAATTAATAATCGTATAAAATAATTTTGAAATATAAAAATTTTATTTTAACTTTAATAAATTAACAATTAACTCTCTGCATTAATGAAACTTTTATAATTGCATAATTTTACTTACAGCTGAGTGTTTTATATAAATTATATCGATAATTTTGATAAAGTGGAAGAACACATTTTTCAATGTGGAAATTACAGGATTTCCTTTACACTTTTACACATAATTCCTATTTTATTTAACCAACTAATACGAAGTTATATTTTCAAAAAAATTTTGCATGCATTCATCTCCAAAATCTATCTTTCTATTTTTCAATCTAATGTATTGACATACATTTTTGTAATCATAGTTTTTGTATCTTTATTTATGAGAATTATTTTAATAAAGTATCAAATATGCAATTACTGATATACACATGTATATTTATATATATATATATATATGATATAAAATTTCTTTTTAATAATTTCTTATTCATATTTTTAATAAGTTATACTGTTATTTTTCAAATTATTTTCTCTAAATTTAATCTTTATGTATACAATTGTCAGCAGCTTTTGCAGTATGATAATAAATTTATTATATATGCTTTCAAAATGTATTTATTTAAAATCTGGTTATTAAATAATCACATTGTTGACTAACAAAATTTTATAATAGTGCATTACAAAGTCCTGTCAAAATATGAATTTTATTTTTTATTATTTTTATTTATTATTAATATATTTAATTTACTATTTAAGTAATAATATTCAAATGTATTTGTATACAAGAATATAAAAGAAATCAATAATCATAATATTTTAGTGTCATTAATATTTTGCTTCAAATACCTTTGAAAAAATTATTACAATTATTAGACAGAAATTAGATAATGTTTATAAAATTATCTGCTCGAGCCTTTTAATGGGCAGAAGAAAAATTAAAAAATCTTTACTTCATAATTTTCTTTATTTTTGTACACTTTATGTATTCACAAAATAAAAAAATATAACAATATTTCAGTAAACAAATAAAGCTTTCATCATTACAGGTGCAGTATAGTACGAAAATTAGATCTTATATTCTTTTCGTTAATGATAGCAATAATCATTTTCTTTAGTATTTTTATATTATTTATAAAGTTAAATATACCACTAGAAGGCTTAGAAATATTCAGCAACTTGATAACAAAATTTTAATGACACTCTTATAAGCGATGCAACGTGGTACTTGTTTGTGTATTTGAATTATATAAACAAATTATTTTAAGTTCTATACATAATCACAACTTCTTTATCTTTTTCTTTCGTATAAATACAATAATCTCGTATGATCGTATTTTTTAATTTGTGGTCACAAAAAAATTAGAAGGGATCAAATAAAGAAAAAAAAACATCATAAAAAATGAAACATAATTAGGTGATATAGTTATAATTAATCAATCAATCAATTAATCAATTAATTAATAATAATAATAATAATAATAATATTATTAATAATAAAAATCATAAGGATATAATAAAAAAATAATAGTTAGGAGAGGATAATTAAACGCCTCTGTTGTTAAGCCTCTCTTCATACTTTCTAAATCCTATGGTCGTTCATACATACGAAATATAAATCAGTTAATCGGTTCGCGCCCTTCACGCGTGACTATATACATGCTAGACATACTTACATAGGTACATACATTAGTTTCTTTTATATTTTTCTTGTTCAATGGATTGTTCCGTTTCTCATGTCTTTTCTTTTTATAAAAAAAAAAGAGAAGAAAAATGTATCTAGACAGATGCTATTCGACGCAGTGTCTTGTGCCTTAGCACTAATTAACACATTTATATTTAACGAAAATCCAATCTCATTCCTTTTCGTGTTTAAGCATACAATACAGTACATTATACATATTTTCAAGGGGCTGCGAAAGCGCTTTATTATAAACTAAGTCATTTTATGTAAGAGTTTCTTTTTTTTTTTCGTATTTTCGTTGGAGTACAACTTTATTTATAAAATTGCAAACATGTAATATCTTTAAACATTAACTATACTGAATTTAGTAATCATTTATTCGAGTAATTAAAAAATTCATTTTTAATTAGTCAAAATCCCTAAAGTCGACTTAATACATTAGATTATGGTAGTTTCGCATCCCCTTAATGAAGGACAAAATATTTTACCAACTGTTTCATAATTTTTCTCTTTATTACTCTCTCTACGATACGAAATCATCACAACAAGCAGATTCAAAAGAATCGATGCAGAGTAATGCTCAAGCCTTTGTTGGGGAAAATAAAAAGAAAAAAAATAAATACATATACATATATAAAAAGCATGTTTCAGAGCAAATCGGCCGAATAAAAACTTGATGAGCTTATACAAACAGTTTATTCAGATAAATGCATTTTTAGCACGGGATATTAATAATAACTATTTAATTTCAAAGATTATTATCAATATTATTTCATTCTTATCCGAAATCTTAAATAAAGGTAAAAAAAAAAAACAAAAAAAATCTTAAGACTTAATTGTTCATACATTATTACTTGTAAGTTGCGAACAATAAAAAAGAATGACAAATTTTTATTTAAAGGTTGCATCATTCTGTTCGAACATTAGATAAATGTTTTCCTAAAGTATCAAGAACGAAGAATACGTTACGAGTAAAATGTTTTGTTATAAAAATTATAAATAACGAGAAAAATGAAGCGTTAACGAGTAGACAAAGTGGCAGCAAAAGCAATATACGTAAAGATACAAAATATTTCTTAATGTTCATAACTTTTTCAAAAATTTCTTTGTCTCCTCATTTGTACATAGTAATGAAGAAAAAGGAAAATTCTGCTTGCAGCTACCCTCTGTGTTGCATTTAAGTCCTATTTTTATTATACATTTATAATAATAGGCTACATAAATTCAACAAGATCTTCAATATAATTCACATCTGCATAGAATAAGAAAAATATTTTCTTTTTCAATTCTTAATACTTAAAAACTCAAAAATGATTCTGCTACACATGCACTATTTTAGATATTATTGTGACCTTTATTTTTAACGTAGTAGAAGAAAGAAGAAGAAGAAAAAAAAAAAAAAAAAAGACTTGTTCTAATTATATAAACAAAACAGCCTTTTGTAACTGACAAATACAGATATTATTTACTCGAAATTTTAATATTATATTATAACATATTAAATTCATAAAACTATATTGATAAATTGATAATGTAGCGATGAATGTAGGCCTAGTTAAACGAAATTGATTAATGAAAATGTAATTAAATAATTTATGAGAATGTAAAAATTAAATAAAAAATATTGATAGGAATCTGAGAAGTTTCGTGAATTTCATCAAAATTAAGAGGGGGGGGGAGGGAGGGAGAAAAAAAAAGAAAAGAATAATGAAAGAAAAATCAAGAGACTTGAGCTGTGAATGAGCAAAGCGAAGTAGCAGAATCAATGAAAAAAAAAAAAAAGAAAAGAAAAAAAAAAGGTTAACGGTTCATTCGTCCGACGAACCGAACGAGCTCCGCATCTGTTATCTAAATTGAAATCTTACGATAGCAAAATATTCGTAACTTCATCATCGTTTCTATTTAATTACTTTAAATGAAAAGTTCGTCATTATAAGCTAGAAAATAAGATAAGATAGGCGCGACGATAATAATCACTAATTAATCAATAGGTTGATTACGGAAAATATGACAAGAAAATCATGGGCGTGCACACGAGTTCGGCAATGCTTATATTATTCCTTTTTCTTATATATAAACGAGAGAACCAATATCGACGATTTCGCTGACGACTATTTATGAAGCGGTATTGGCCTCCGTGAAAAAGAGCTCAAATGCCGCAACCTGTGATTCTGACTCAATGCCATTACGTCGTAGGTGGCTCGTCAAGCCTTCGGCATCAAGAACGTGACAGGGTGAGAAAACAGGCGAACTCGTTCCTAGAGACTCGATAATAGCACGCAGGAATTTCGGCCATTGCTGAGTGAAGGGCTCGTATATAACGTCGTATGCGCATTGTAAATTTTCGGCATGTTTCAGCATCAGTGATATCACTGATATGCCAAACTAAAAAGTGGGAATTCTTTCATTATTTAATTATCGTATTATTTTTATAGATATATGTATGTATGGTTTTAATGTGCTTTGAAATTATGAAAAAATTAAAGAGTACCTAAAAGTCAAGCTTTGATCAATTTGATCGGTATGTTATTTAATTTTGAACAAATTTACAAATTATCAAGGAAACTATTATTAGCTATGCATTATTAGATTTATTTCAATATATATATATGCGTCGAAGAAACAATAATAAGCCGTGAATGGAAATTTGAAATTTCGTTACTTTTCTAATGATGAGATTGAGTATTTTAATGGATAGTTAGAAAATTGATTTACGACCACAAGAATTATTATTATTTTGCAAAATCTTACATCTTTCACATCGATCAATGGCATAAACATACACTTGCTAATTAAATGAATTTGATCGAATAAGGCGTATAAAAGTAAAAAAAAAATAAATAAATAAAAATTAATAATTTTCTTAACAACGAGAACGAAGAAACATAAAAGCAATACAAGTTTATTGTTATAATATGAATTTAAACAGATTAAGATAATGTTGTGGTACTGAATACTGAAGTTGTTCAATGTCTGTTCGATAATTATTATATACAAGTTATTTTCTAGGACTATTAAAATGAAAAAAATTAAAAAAGAAATTAAAAAAGAATAAGTTACACTTTTAATTGAAATCTGAAATACATGTTGCTTGCTTGGTATTCTACATTTTATGAAACTATTGGATGATTTAGCTCTTACCTTATTTGTAAGCGCAAATGTAAGGCTATTATTTTTTGATGGCTGATTTGCAGACTCGATGAATTCTTTAGCTAAATTGGTCAACAACAGGAAGCTTATAGAATTTTCATCCACCCATTTGTGAAATTCGGTATAAAAATTAATCAACAAATGAGAATCCCTTCGTCCAATGATTGTTAAACCTTTGATAACTGCAGCCCATAATTTGGACAGTTTGAATTCATTCTCCTTAACGTTAATGCACGGTAAAAATCGAAGAAATAATGTCTATAATGAAATTTATAACTTGTATTAATTAAATTTACACGAATTTTAAAGAATTACGTTGAAAGTTTTAATTGCTGCCATATGGTAAATAAAAAATTTCAATTTCTATCATAAAAATACTTACTTTGCCTTTGCGAATACTAAGAAAGCTGGCAAATTTATCTTCTTGAATAAGTTGCAAAAATGGTGACATTATAGATAAAATAAGTTCTTCTTTTTCTTTCACAGGGTCCTTAGGTTCAGATTCAGAGATTGTTTCGCCACTCTCCTGTTGCTGTTGTTCGCGTTGCTGATCAGCTATTATAGCTAAAGGATTATTCTTGTCCTCAAGTTTTAATAGCAATATATAAAGCTAAAATAAATAAATGAGTAATTAATTATTTTATGAAATTTATTACATGTACGAATTCAACATAAATATATATAATAAATATTCAAATGTCATAAATAATTATAGCGTTTGTTAAAATTATTTCTTATTTATCAAAATTATTATGGTACAGATCACTTTTGGATCACTTTTCAATAGATTTTGTATGAAATACTGATATGATGATTAGTTTCAACAAGTACCCTTTCGATTTCTAAAAGAAGTTGCCGAGTTTTCTTTGTATCCTTTTGTTGAACAGATTGACTTTGATGAGGATCACTATTAGGAACGACATCCATGTCAATAATTTTTCTTGGAGCTGTAACACTACTGTACTGCAATTTTCCCAAAGAGTTTTCAAACTGCATCGGAGTACTAGCAACTTTAGTAAAGGAATGATGAGGTTGATCTCTGTCCCTATATAATATTTTATTATATTAGGATTAAAAGTCAATGTTCTTTTTATTATTATTATGAAAATTAATAGCCAAAGTATATTGGAAATTACAATTGTGATCTAGAAAAAAATAGATAAAGGTAAAATATTTTTTGTTCAAACGATTATATCTAAATTAATTTTGACGATTCTTAAATATTGTTTATGCTTGCACAGAAAATCTATCATTTGAGAAAATTAATAAATTAACGCGACAAATTAATGCTTTTGCGCAAAATAAATTAACGCATGAAAAACAAATTAAAAAATTAAGCATATTTAATAAACTAATGGCAAATCATGTATTCTCGCGGCATATGAAATTATATACTGCATATGTCATTAACTATTTATTATCTACTACATTAATATTTATATAAATATTACTATTTTTACAATACTTTAAAATTTTTTATTGAATATTAATCATTTGCAAAAAATCAAATCGATTAAATTTAAATATCAACATAATATTTCCAACTCTTATCAATTTTATTTAATTTTGTTAAACACATTAAACTTTAAAACAATATTTAACGAAATTATTTATATTTAAATAGTCTTATTAAACAAAGATACAAATCAGAACCTTAGCTTACCTTGAATCCCTGTGATATCCATTATTATTATTTCCTGCAATATTGTTGTTAGACTTTTGGCTGTTAATTTTATTGCGATTTTTTGTTTCGTTTTTCTTATTTAATCGATCACAAAAAACCGTATAGTAATAATCGTCAATATACGGCTGATTTGTATTTAACTGTAGTAATTGTATATTATTCAGCCACTGTTTTTCCCTGTTATTCATCAATCCTGCGTATTCATCGTGTTCACCGGATGGTCCTATGCCATTACTTCCCATGTGATTTTGATGATGGTTCATAATATAATGGTGCATTGGATATCCATGGTGAACATGATTGGGATGGTACCTATTTATGTGATTCTGATTATGATGATGATATTGATTATTTCTGAAAAAGGGTTGGTGGTGATTTTCCTGACGATCATTATGATTTAATTGTTTATTTTGATTTCTCTGATTTCCGATGTGCATATTGTGTTGTTGCATATTCTGATGATTGTTTGCGTAAGGTGGCATCAATGGATGATCTGGTCTCAAGTATGTCTGTGGTCCTATACCAGAATTAGGTGAATGCTGCAAGAATAATTACAAATCTAGCAATAATATTGTAATTATTTTTAAAAAATAAGAAAAAAAAAGAAGACATATATTGACGTTGTTTTTTTACATAAGATGAAGAAATAACAAAATTATTATTCAAATACATACGTGAAAACTGTTAAGTGGAAAATTGCCGTGAAGTGGTGGTTGTCTTTGACTTCCAGGTGGCATTAGTAAATGTGGAGGTGGTAATGGATATCTAAGAATATTTCCAGGTTGATCTGTAAAAAAGGTTTAATAAATGAATATTAGTATTTAATTATATTTATAGTACCGCTTAAAAATATACTAACGACATTCGTCATAAAAAAATGATAACTACACAAATTTAATTATTAATCGATCTTGAGTTAGTATTTATTGTTACAGTATCCTTTCAATATTCACGAATGTCATTGAAATATTTTAAATCAATTGGAATTAAACGCTTTTTAACTTGCAATCAAATTAAATTATTGGATTATCTGAAATAATCTAATACTGAAAAAAATTGCCTACAAAATGAATTTAATACTATTAGAATTATGAACTTATCCGATGTAATTTAATTATATTTATAAATTATGCATTTAGAAATTTTATACAAAAGTAATTTATATAACAATTAAATATTAAATTAAAATTTTTGTTATTCTATTGCATATGATACATATTTTATAATTATAATTTTAAGCATTTATTTATTTAACTAAAAATTAAAATTGTCAATAATACAATATCATTTTAAACCAAATATAATTAATAAATTAAATTTAATATCTATCTAATTTAAAATAATTTATATTTTTAGTCTTTTATATTTATGCCGAATATTTTAAAATTAATATTATAAAACAAAAACAAAAAAAAAAACGGTTGAAACGTTTTTCTCAATTCAATTACTTTTATTAATTGTAAAAACGAGTGAACGCAATATTAATGCAAATAACAAAATACTAATAAAATATGCACTTTTACATTTAGCAGTTCCAACTCAATGATATAAAAAAAAAATTTAACATTAATAATAGCAAGGAGATTAGCATTGTAAATTAAATCATTAAATAGTCAATTTATTTGTAAAAAAAAAAAGAAAAAAAAAAAAGATCAATTAACTGGATACTTACTAGGCAATGGTCGAACATTTTGAAGATGAAATTGTGGATGTGCTACTCTAACATTTGAGGGAAGAACATGGGGAAATTGTTTCAGAGCTGTAATCACAGCATTAAATTGTTGCAGTCTATCTAGCGATGCTATCGAGTTAACAAATATGTTAGCACCAGTCATGTTCGTAGGTAGATAAGTCTGCGACACGGATTGTTTAATGAGACCAGGTGGCGGTCGATTAGTGATAAGTCCCCTTTCCAATTCTTCCACTGTACATGCATTTTTAAGCGTTGTTGATAATGAAGGTTTTAGTCGAATTTGAGGTGGAGGTATAGAAAAATTTGTTGGACTATCCCAAACACCGGGTCGAGGTATAGTAACTTCTTTCTCGTCGAGTACCAAATGTGAAAGACTATTCTCAACATCAATTTCCGATTCACTCTAAATATCAGATATTAAGAAACAAAAGATTATAATTATTATAATAAAACTGTATACTATAATATGTACTATAATTTTACACAGTGAAGACATACACATTCTGCATGCTTAAATTATAGAAATTATTTTAATTATTAAACAGAATTTAGGATAATTTGTAATTAGCTGTTAAAATGATTTGAAAATTTTCTTGAAAAACCATTAATTTACATTTATTCTATAATAGTACATACTTTGCTGCATTCATTACGGTTTCGTGGTCTGCTTTGTTCAGTGATTTGGGCTAGCTTTTCATGATCTTGTTCCCAATCACCCGCAGTTGCTTCCGATCCAAAAGTTTCATCGTTCAATGCATCGTAATTATTTTCTTCTCCGTAATCGTCGTCGTCTAGACATTCGGATCCATCTTCAGAGCCAACCTAAATTTACAATATTTAAATTGTGTAAAAACTTATTTTAAACAGTCGATAGCAATAATTAATTCTATAATAATTATTCATTTAAAAATAATTACAATTTTTTTCTTTAAGCGTTTACGTAGGCTTGCATGGTATAAATTAATAATATTATATAAAGATATATATATATATATATATATATATATAGCATTAAGTATCATCAAAAGATAAACTTTAATTGTGCAAATGTATAATAATTAATGATATTTGCCAAATGAAAAACTAAACAAACTAAAGTTTGCAGCACTTTGGATGATACGACGTTAATGAATGTGGAAACAGTTATTGAACATTGATTTCATGACGAATAAGCAATTGGAATTTATAATTTAAGACTTATTATGGCCACATGGTAAGGCACATCAGACTATACTCATTACAAAATGAAAATAAGAGTTCGGATTAATGTAGGTAAAAGTTCTAGAAATAAAACTGTTCATTCTTAAATTACGTTTCAAGAAATTCAAAAGTGATAAAGGGGCCTGCGAGGGAACGAACTGATCACGCTTTCCTGTATACTTAACTGAATAAGCTTACAAAGCAATATTAATCCTAACTAACTGACTTATTAACTTGTGAAAAAAAATGTTAGAACTTAATAGTTAATATTAAAGTGGAGATAAATATTTGCTTTGAATATTTGACGTTGCACAATATAATGTATAAGGGGCTTTGTCCGATAATGCACTGAGAACGAGGCCGAATGAAAAAAATCAAAACAATTCCCGCATTCAAATAGCAACCACAGAGTCTTGTATTATGAAATTTTACAAATTTTACGATAATTTAACGTAATTTGCCAAGAGCACGAGCAAAATGAACTTGCGCGCCCTTAAAGATGTTATATAGATGAGGAAGTTTGTTCAACCGTAGTCGAGGCCGTAGTGTACATTTGCCGGAAAATAACATTGCAGAATCAGGTCGTTGCACTCGTAGACCGAGACGATATTATCACAACGAGGTTACTTACGCCGAAGCCTGTATCAAATTCGAAGAAAGAGTCTGCCATTTGTAATAATTGCATTCACTAAATGTCATGTTCCAAACGCAAACGTCAAGCGCCGAAGAAGTAATCAGCTGTCATGGCGGCACCACTAAACTGAATGCGAAAATGTGCTATCTCTATCGATATGTAACTAGCGCCACTACTAATCTCCTGATGGCGCTCTTTCAACGCTCCTAGCGCCCTCTTCAATTTTCTCACCGTTTTTCAAGGTTACTTTCTTTCGTTCGCTCAACATTCTTTTTTCCCCTCAAACTACGAGCTGCCCCAAGTGCCAAAGTACATGCATCTTTTCTCCAATCGCACGGCCCTTTACAATGGCATTACAAACGGATGATTTAATCGTATAGTTATCGTATAGTAGATCCAAATCATTATTATAGAGATTTTTTTATGTTTTAAGCAAATAGTTGGGTGCCAATTCAATTCAGTAGCCGCGTGTGTTGCGTATTGTATTTTGAAATTTCATTTGAAAATTCCATATTCTCTCGTTGTTGAAGATGTTTTTCAAATTTTTCAAATAAACGACCACTTTTTTCCTATCTTTTTATAGTTTGCATTTTAAAGCGTCACGATTGAAACATTTGCTTACAGTTAGGTCAGTAATTTTTATTTTTTATTATAATGAAAACGCCCCAATTGAAAAATCTTCATCATTAGGACGAGAAAGTTCAATGTTGGGGGTTGGGGGGCGGTGAAAAAAAAAATGTTTCTATATGTTTGTTTAATTGAAAGCTAAATGCATTTTATATCGATTGAAATTCTCATAATTCCTGCCCTGCTCACACTAATTATATCAAAATGATATATTTTGATTTGTCCTTCAAAATTACAAAATATAAACATTTACAATTATCTTTTATACTATTTATGGAATGAATACTTGAGACGCTGACCGTGTGATCATTGGTCATTGGTCATTTATTGCTTGGATTAGCCGTTAATAATAATGAAATGAAAAAAAAACCCTTTTTTTTATTTATTAGCCTAAAATGATAGGAGAACAATCCAATATTAACGTGTGGATAATTTTACATAAAAGTTCATGTTGTTGACACAACGAATCATCAATAAATTCATCATTATTGGGCTCGACAATAAATTTATAGATCTTATTATTTGCCTTGATCAGAGAAAAAAATTTCAATTATTTTTCCTACGATCGATCATGTTTGATTTCATCCAATTCTTTTTCGAATTCCTAAAACTTTCATTTTTCATCGAAGACCGGCAAAAATTGACGGATTTTCTTCAATCTTATGTATAATCCAAATTTCAACCAATTGAAATCCATTCATCATCGATCTACGGGGTTTTCAAATTTTACGCGCCCTTTATTTATAGATTATTCTAGCAGCTCGGCGGGTTAAATTATAATTTAATGGGATTTTATCGGCATCTTAATCATTGAATTCTGAATCACTGTCTAATCTTCGCTGACAATTCGCTGACATTTTCGCCCATTAGAATTTCACAATGCCATCAACATTCTTTCCACCACCCCACCCCTTTACATGTTACCCCATCCCGGTCTAATACCAATTTTTTCGTTCGATAAAATGATCGTAACAATAATCCATCGATCACTACACTACAGATATTTAATAATTATAATCTCCCCTCGTACTTTACAGGATGTATAATCAACATATAAACTAAGCAAGGCGCTCGAGGACGAGTACCGTGGCACGCGTGGCGGTCCAAACGAAATAAACCTCTGATTGGTTGGGGGCTCGACGATAATGAGAATGAGAACCACCAGCGGATGCTTAAGCCTCGATTCCATTAGCGCATCCGCGTAATTTTCCATTGCACATGTGATTAATCCACAAAGACGGTCGTTTGCTCTTTTGACCTAGGTGAGAGGGTCCGTCTACAACGCTCGCACGACCGCTTTGCCGACCTATGATGAAATCAAGTTGAGCGCATACGTAATTTGTATAATAATAATGACTCTCGCATCGTTAGCATTAGAATATGTTCTTATAAAGGCCGATTCGCTTAATTTGCTTAACAAAATAATAATAATGCTTTGGCTATAATAACCGAGGCTAAGAAGCATTGGGTTGGTAAAGAAAATTTTCACGCTCAAAGCGCATCGATAAACCAACATTTGGACGGACAGTGTGTGCTGCTACTGCACCGAGGCAAACTATTTTATCTTCCTCTTCCTCTTCCTCTTCCTCGTCGACTGACTGCTGACTTTACGTCTCTGAAAATATTAGTTTCTATTTTCGACGGATCTGGACTGCGGAGCAAAGTTGCCTATTCAGTGGTGCAGTGAGTGTGTCTGTCGTCGAGAAATTAACGTATTATAGAATCGTTGGTGTGCAAGAGTTTTTTAATTCAGTATGTAAATTAACCGTCTAACTGTGAGTCTGATTAGATTTTGTCATCTAAACTTTCGCAACCATTGACCTGCCATTATTAAACAAAAATTATTTGAAAAAATTGTTGGTAGCACTGTTGCAAAATTAACCTCCGTTTTGTATTTTCAGATGTTTAATATACGGAATATTCAAAAGACATGTATATCCATGCATATTAGGCTCAACCACAAGGTAAAATGTTTACGACGTCACGGACATACTAGTTCTTATAAAATTGTACTGTCGGATGATCCTCGCGATGGTTAGTGTTTATGCATTATTTTATTGTTATTTAAAGGAATGTTCATTTATTGACTCTTACACGGCAGCTGCATTTGGCCTGAGAGTAATTGTATGTGCCGAATGGAATAACAATTATTGCTTTAATCTCGTTATTCTGTTGATGAACGATTAAAAAGTTCATCGTTTCAAGATAGAGCTTTGTGTATTTGGCCAAATAGATTTTAAGCGTTGAGTTGAAAAAATATTTATTACTTAACGCGTTTGACGTTCCAGTCCATCTATATCAACATTGCATGCGAATGCAATCGAATATTGCTGTAAAATTATAAATATTCCCTGACCTTCGTTCTATATGCATTACTTATTAAGATAAAAATAAACTTGGCATATTTATTACCGGATGCTGTATTAAGCAAGGCAGAATGTTATTATTATGTTGACATTCTTACATACGTATAGAATATAATAATTTGCCATACATAATTATAACTATGCTATTATAACATTATATATTGGCTTTTTTTCTCTTCTTTTTCATCCTCTTTTTTTCTCTTTTTTATAGAACTTAAGTCACCATATGAATTATAATTTATTTGTTTTATTTGTTTATTACATTATTATATCGATAATATTTGTTTATAATAATAGATATACAGAATCCTGTATCAGATCTCTATCCAAATTGGGAACTCTTAACGCCGCAAGGTTTCCGATTTTATCTTCCTGGTAGTATAGGTCCTGGTTGGCTAAACGCCAGGACAATCGCACGTGCTGAAATACAGTCTTCGTTAGTACCCAATGAAATAGAAGATTTACATATAGCTAAATTAAAAAAACATTTTAGAAGAAAATCTTATAGTGTGGACAAATCGTTTTCGTTTCTGCACTTTACTGCTCAAGAATGTCCAACATTGTTGAGAAAAGGAATTTTAGAACTTTTCCCCGGCTGCCTGGAGGTTACTTCCCCCGAGCTTACTATGATTACCATCAGTCAATTTACTAGAAATAAAGCATCGAAGTGGAGTAAAGAAGCTTTAACTGAAAAATTAGCACAGTATGTAAGTAGTAGTCGTTCATTTTGAAATGATAATTATTTTTGTATATTATGTGTATTCTGAGATCGTATATTATATAAAGATATTACGCATTGTTATATTGCATTAATAGCCAATAATTTCTTTTCTTTTTTCAATCACCAAAAATATATATTATTATTTATTCCATGTACTATTCATTACAGTTTGTACTTGCTGCATCTGATATGTGCAACAAATTAAAAACTTGCGGATTTTGGGCAGATTTTATCAATCCATTTAGTGGTCAACCATATTTAAACCCTCACAATAACAAAGTACTTTATAAAACAGACGAACGTTTTCGTTGTGTAGGATTTAAAGTTCGAAACAAAATAAATTGCAGAATAATATCGCACGATAATAATACAAGGAACTTTATTGGTTAGCTGGCTTTTCTTTTAACTATTTACAAAACTTTTAATCAACGTAATTTTTAATGACTGTTTTATTTCAGGCAATCTTTACACAACTGCTCCATGTAACACAGATTTTCTAAAAGAAATCACAAATAACTTAAATAATAAAACTGATTAAAATTTATTAAAATTTAAATTTAAATTATTAAACTAAATTGTTAATTTAATAAATATGTTGATTAATGGTATACAAATACAATATAATATGTATATCAAACAAATATGAAAAAAGTATTAAATACATAATACTTCGAATCACAAATCGCATAATTAATTTATTTTAAAATATGTTCTGTAATAAATTATCGTGATTTAGTTTATGAAATTTATTACATTTATCTGCTAATTGAAGACAATATATTAATAAATATTTTAGAAAAAATATGTATAATGTTTAATAAACAATTGAAAGAAAAAATCTTTAATGTTTGAATCAATTATAATGCAGAAAGTAAATATCAAAAATAAATGGTCGAATTTCTTAATATTGTTCCATTTAAAATATTATACAAAATGTATTTAACGATGAATAATTTTAAGTAATTAGTAAGAAAAAGAATCGTTGTAAAATAATTTAAATAATGTCCGTGATAGTGGAAAATATAAAATAAACTAAATAATAAAAACGAAACTACTTTATTAATATATTCAAATGAGATTAATAATTTTTTTGTCCTTTACATGTTGCAATTTATATCGTAGTATTTTATATTTGAGTCCACAGATATTTTAAGTCTCCGTACGAGTGTTATGAATGTGAATCTTAATAAAACATACGATTTATTATATCAATAACGTGATAAAGTTTCATTAAACGTAATATGTATGTTGTCATACATTAAATTATTTTGTTAAATAAAATGATGTTAGGTATATTTTCTTCTATATTTAATTTACATACAATTAGTTATTATAAAGTGATTCGCCAAATAGTTGTATAATAATAATATACAAATAAGCCAAACCAGCCATTGTTACTTGACTTATATGCAGAAGAATTTCTAATAGAATAGAATGGAATGGAATCTGAGAAGAACAGAAGATCTATAACATTGTATTTTAAAATCAATAGTCTTCTCAAATAAACTTTAAGAAAATTAGAAATTTTTAGATTTTAGTTGTATTATGCTGTATCGTAAATTCAAGATTATAAATTTATATAATATTTTAGATTATATGTGAAGGATGAAAAAAATTTTATTCAAAATATTTTTTACATAAAACTATTAATATTAAGTACAAATATATATAATAACTAATGTTAAAAAATATTAACTAATAATGTCAGATATAATGTATATTTGCATAGTAAGAATCACGATCCAACTTGTAATAAAAAATTGTATTTAAAAACTTATTCTCTTTTAAATGAAAATAATAACTTATTAAAATTTTCATTAATAAAATTACATATTTTAAAGGAATTGCTTCTTTATACAATAATTATATTTAAAGATTGTTATATCTGAAAATATTTTATTTTGAATATTATATAGTAAGTGTTTTTGTCTTAATTGGATACAAATTTCTTTAAAGAATTTGTATTTTGTATAAATGTTTCAGAAAACCGAAAATACACTTTATGATTTATTATAGAAAATATATAACGACAATCTGGAAAAGGTATATTTAAAGAATAGAATTTTTTAATATTTTCAGCATTCAATATATTTATGTAATTAATAAAATTTTGTTTCATACTTATATCTTTAAAAAAAAAAAAAGGAGTAAACTATTTTTTTGAAAAACAAAAACTAAATTTAATTTCATTACTAGAAGAAAAATTTTACTATTATTATGAAAGTTATCAAAAAAAGGATATACAATTAAATAATATTATTCATATGCATATATATATATATATGTGTGTGTGTGCGTGTGTGTGTGTGTGTGTGTGTGTGTGTGTGTGTGTATGCATATGTATAACGCATTAAGAAATTGATAAATTCCAATTGATTGATTTATATTTTTTAATTAAACTTATATGCAAAAGAAAATGGTTAGAGATAGAAAATTATAACTAGTGATATTATAAATATGGTATCATAAACTATAATTATTTCGTACTGATTAAAGGCTGAACGTACAATATTTCTACTGAAAATTTTCAATAAAATTGAAATATCCTTGCTTTTTCTACTTTTGTAATACGTATGTATATATATTTTTTTTTTTCCAATAGATTTTTAAATTTTCTAAATAGTTTTGGATTTATGCAGATTACAAAATTACGGGAGAAAATAAAAAATAAATTATGCACTAAATATTTTAATTCGATTGAATCTCATTATTGTCTGCAAATTCTTTTCCTAAATTAAATATTTAAAAATAAAACTATTCAGCGAGGAATATATAATTTAACTGTAATTATACAAATTATTTGAATAATAATAACTATTTAATACTGGCATTATTTTTAGAAAAAATATTTATTACAAATAATATTAAATTCTAATTTAGTTAGTCAGAAATTTGAATATCGTAATAATACGAATATACTTTCAATTTCTATTACATTTCAATAAATATGATTGTATAATATACATAAATTAAATAATACTCATAATTAAATTATATATATTAAAAACAAAACTTATTATAAAATTCGTAATCAATAATATTTGAAATATTTTATTGAAATAGGTTATCTTAAAATAGTAATATTTTCATTCGTAAGTGATTAAACAAATATCGAGTCTGTTAAGATGGATAGAATTTTCAAAATATTACTTTTCGCAAATTACATGTTTCAATTTGCAAACATATTTCTAATTTATAGTTTCTTATATATATATTTTTATAATAAATAATTCTTAATTTATTAGTGTATATAAAATTAATTTTCATGACACGAACGTTTGTAAAACTAGGTGAGTAAGTTTTTTCTCAAAAGAAATTTAAATTATATAGATATGTATATATGTGTATATTATATTTACGTGAATATTTCTGTATACTCGCGATATTTAAAGTATCGTAATAAATAAAGAAAACAAAACGCTTTAGCTGGGACCGGTAGTAATGAAGTCACGCCTGGGAAATCGTGAAAAGCACACGCATTACGTAAACACGTGTTTACAAGTATGCAACCCTCGTGCTTTGACTTTTTCTTTTTCCTCTTGAGAGCATAAAGACAGTATCTACTTTTATACATTCAAATATTTCTTTATATATGCAAGCGCACATTCTAAAAATTTATATAAAATTTCGGTTTAAAAATACAGCACAATACATAAATATCAAACAAGTATGAATGTAAAATTACATGTTTGTCTATATAAATAGATTTATGTATGAGGATGAAAAATGTCTCAATGCAAACTCGTTCAACGACATTCAGGTACAAAAAAATAAATATTCACATTTTTAATGACGGATATTTGTCGATAGATAAATTTTTTTTATATTAAAGTACAAATAAATAAAAAACATTGTATTCTGTAAAGATTTGAAATAAAATAAGGCTTCGAGTATTCTTAAATACTATCAAGTAAAATTTTAAAAAGTAACAATTATTTTAAAAAACTATTTGAAATTATATTTACAATAATTTTTAAGTAAAGTGCGGCTAACTGAAAAAATTATCCTTATACTATCTCTTAAATAATCTTTTCCGGCATTTACTTTTATCTATTCCACTTAATTGGGTTAAATGCGTAAATACTCACAAATTATTTTTTAATACAAGACAATGTTTTTATTAGAATATTTTTTTTCGTATATCATATATAAAATATTCTTGGAAATTAAAAAAAGAAGAACAGAAGAAAAAAGGAAAGATAAACATTTATTTATTTATTTATTTTAATTAACTAATTGAAAATGTCTAAGTTACGTATAAATTGATTGAGCGACGTATATGGATTTATCAAAATATATATTAATTTTAATATTAGTGATTTAGATCACATTATTTCTTTAAAGAAAAATCTTAAACAATACATAACAATTTGTATGAAGCTTTTGTTCATTTTTACACATTATAAATAATGAAGATGGACAATGCAAACAGCGAAATCTCTAAGTATGTCAACAATTTCATTACTGAAGCCAGTATTCCTTTGCATTTTTAAATGAAATAATAAACATTCCACAAAAATCATATGTATATATATGTAATGTTATATATATATATATATATATATATATATATATATATATATATATATATTAGTGAGTAAAGGAATTTACTGACATTGCATTCGAAAAAAAGTTGTTAGTAAATTGTTTTGAGTGTGGTCCTTTTTTCATATACAAAGTCATATTTGTGATTATATGTTTTGGAAGGATGAAGGAATTGTAATCGCGAAATTATTATAAAAATGTGACTATCGGTGTAACCGCGAGTTTATCATTAGTACAAGAAAACATATCTACATTACCGTGATTTTGTTATTTGATAAATGTATATTTAAATTCTGTATTAATCCGTGAATGAATTACAAATTTACCAAATTTAAGTTTATCATTTTTATATGAATACCATTACGTTTGATTAAAATTTCATTAAAATTTATTTGTTGTTAATATTCTCCAATGATTTTATATTGAGAATAATAAATATTCACAATATAATATAAATGAGGTTAAAATTAATGCACAACGATGAATTACTGAATTTAATTTATACGAAGATCTGTATTGTTATAAATTCTTGATTATTAGCATTACAATTAACCAGAATAATGGTTAAATAATTTAATGTGACAATTCAATATGTCAAATTTTATTCTTATTATTCTTGAAAGATTGAATCAAATAAGTTAGATATAAAGAATCATCGGGTATTTTGTTAAATTTTCACGTCACTTTGCAATATTATACACATTTATTGGAACAACATGTAGAGAGAAATGATTTTTTTAAATGGCCAAATAAAGCACAATTGTTATAAATACTTTATATTATACTGTATTTATATCATTTAATTAATTAGAAACTATAAACTTTTTCTTTGTATTCTTTAAACGACTATTGCCTTAATT